TCTGAAACCAATTGAGCTTCCACGAATTGCTGTTTTCTGTCAATTGGTCCTGTAGCTTTCGTAAGGCGTAAAGATTGATAATACACGTTTCATAATTTTAGTGCGTTTCTTTAAATAGACTGTCTAGATATGCATTCGCACACTGTTAATTAAATGCTATACATTGGATTTTTTTTAAGAATAACTAAATGATTTGTTGTTCTCTGTTGTGGATTCCGGGATGAAATCCAGTACCAATAAATAACAACTCCAAGAATGAATAAAGAAAAATAAATGTATTAACGCAATAATACAAACTGGTAATGCAGGTTAGTAGTTTCAGGAATACGGGTTAGTAGCAAAATATCTACACAGTCTTTGGTATTGAAGTATCGCTGTATGACATCTTACTGAGTCTACGTGCTCGCTCACTGTGACTCTTGCTCGCTACGTTTGTTCTGTCTGTCGGTTACCTTCACCCTCTGTTGCTCTCGTCTCTCGGGTCTTCGCGTAGCAGTAGTATATGTATATACTGGGTCAGTTCATTTGTGTAAAAAGGGGAGAGCCCCTTAACATTCTCTTTATATCATAATTGGTTCTCCTCTTAAGCACTAGTCTCATGATACTGTTGACGATATTTCCAGAATTCTTTACAGAATCTGGCTGTTTGTTTCTTTATGACAAATTCTAGGTCGTAGTGCAGCGAGAGATGCGCTGATTTGGTCACTTTCAGTAGAGCTAATCATTATGGTCAAAAGATGTTTTTGGTGACTGATTTTAAATAGACTGACATTAAATTGACGCTTTTGTTGATTGGTTTGTAAATTTTACAGAAATTTTATCCTCACTGAGCAGACTTTCTATCTTCCCAGTCATAGAAATCCTAAATGGTTAAATTTGGTGATCAACCCGATTCCAGTCTGTCACTTCCCTGTCCAATCTACTGTTCATTCAGATCCCTGCTCCATAATTGTGATATAACAAGTAACACTGCCATCTTTTTGAAACCCATCAGTATGAATGACCTCATCAGCAACTAAGCGAGCTTCAACGAATTACTGTCGCCTGTCAATTTGTCCTGTAGCTTTAGTAAAGCAAAAAGATTCATTTTACAAAACTCATCCAGACACGAACCCGTCCTGGGTATGACGATAAACTACGTACAACAGCAAGGCTTCTGATCAGGAGGTTTTGAGGAGCGTGGAACCACCTCTTAATTGCTAATGTTCCCAGGTTCACCCTGACTCGGGGTGGTAGCACCTGTTAGGGTCCCAGCTATGGGCAAATAGTTAACCCCTAAACTGGGGGAAAAAAGCATTATGAAAACGTAAAAATGTATTTTAATACCAGAGATACTTTGTAAAAGAATTGTTATCAGAAATCATTGAAGAAAAAAATATTACTAGCAATATATTTTTGAAAAAAATATTACCAACAATACATGTTTTAAAATAATATTACCAACTCTACATTTTTCAGGAAAAAAATATTACCAGAAAAAAGTTGTCGGCATTAAATAACCCAATGAGGTTGATATGCCGTAAAACACAACAAACCAAACCAAACCAAACTCGACACAAACCTTATAGGATTGATTACCTTATCTAAAGAACAAAACTATTTAGACATTTATCAACCTGAATGTGGTCATTAATTTTTCCACACTTGTCAGAGCAAATACGAAATATTGCAGATAAACTGATACCGAAAATGCTTTAGATTGTCTTTTGAAATTTCCGCTGAATGAATTCAGCTCTGCAGAGATAATGAAGACATTCATTTTGAACCAGACTCTTGATAATCCAATGATAATCCAATAAGTGTTATTCAGCTTTTGTCCTATATTACTTTTAGATTGTTCAATTAAGATAGATAAGGAGATTATGGATACGCTGAAATTTTTTAGGGATCAGGGTCTCGCCATTGTGTTTAAATGTCAAACGTTTTAAGAATAATTATTGAATATTTTGCTCGCAAGTGACATTAAAATGCAAAAAATATGTTTTATCCTTGGGGAATGAAGACAAAAAATTGCGATAAATCGGTCAGCTCGCTCCTCACTTAATATCATTCAGAAGTTGTTGTCATTAAATAATATGAGAATTGTGACCAGTGGTCTCATGACTGGTAGTATGACTATTATAATTACAGCAAGAATATACGAAAAGTTACGTGAAGAAAGAAAAAGAGATGCTAAAATTGTGATAGTGTTATGGGGACCTACCTTCATGGACAAAATAGACTCATCTATGGCTATATTATGCCTCGCAAGAGAACTGTAGAGGAGCGAACGAGTTGACTACTCTACTTAGCCGTCAGATGGACGTGCAACACTTCTGTATTCGTTCTTTTTGTTAATAATACGCTTTCACTGAATTGCTGAGGTCGAGTTTTCTTTCGGATCTCTTCCGAGGTCACAACAGATAGATAGATAGATAGATAGATAGATAGATAGATAGATAGATAAACAGACAGTCGGACAGAAGCTGATTGAGATAGATAGATAGATAGATAGATAGATAGATAGATAGATAGATAGATAGATAGATAGATAGATACTGAGATCGATAAACAGACAGTTGGACAGAAGCTGATTGAGATAGATAGATAGATAGATAGATAGATAGATAGATAGATAGATAGATAGATACTGAGATCGATAAACAGACAGTCGGACAGAAGCTGATTGAGATAGATAGATAGATAGATAGATAGATAGATAGATAGATAGATAGATAGATAGATCTATTAACAGACTGAGACAGATAGATATGAACAGATAGATATGAACTGGAATAGATAGATAGATAGATAGATAGATAGATAGATAGATAGATAGATACATACATACATACATACATATATACATTGATGATTGATTTGATTGGTCTAAAATAGATAATTCAGTAGTATTTTTATTTTCCTTTTTCTTCTTTTTAGATTTGTAGCGACGTTTCATTGTTAGGGTGATAGCCGGAAGTATTCATTAGATATTTCCGGAAGCAGTGAAAAAAAGAAAATTTTCTTTGATTTTAGAAATATCTAAACCTTTTACTGACATTGGTTTTTTGGAAGATTTCTTCTTCTTCTTCTTCTTCTTCTTATTATTATTATTATTATTATTATTATTATTATCGAAAAAATATCTTCCAAATCTCCTCACAGATGAAGAGGAGAAATGATGTAATGTGATTCTACAGAAGGATGCTGAGAATACCAGGCACTAAATTTGTGAGTAACGACGAAGGATTAAGGAGAATAGAAACAAGAAGGACGCTTATAATTATAATCAGAAAGAGACAGAAGTTGACACTTCAGATGACACATAAAGAGGAAAGAAGGCGTCGAAAAATTGACATTCATCAGTATTGAAGCGAGAGAGGCAAATATCAAGCAAACTACCTGTAAGATGTGTGTAAGTGCATAGCAGACCAGGTATTGGGCAAGATAACGAAAAGCCAATCCCTACTAAGGACTACAAAGGAGACAAAAACTTTGGGGAGAGCCATGATTGCCCACATCCTGAAGTGTCATAGTTTTTAAAATAACAATAAGAAGATTTTGCTTTAAGTTTTACTTGCATTTTAACTTGGCTATAATTTACCTTTCTTTTATTTTCTCTTCAACTACTAATAGTTTATCTCTTCCTCTCCGCCAACATCCTTCTTCTTCTTCTTCTTCTTCTTCTTCTTTTTCTTCTTCTTCTTCTTCTTCTTCTTCTATTTGTGGATGTCATTGTTGTTATTCTTCTTCTTCTTTTACTCCACCTCCTCCTCTTCCTCCTACGTACGATGTGAGTGTGGCGGAATGGAGAGCTAGTCACAATCTGAGATCGGCGATCTAAGTTCAAATTCCAGTCGGGTTCGTTACATCTGCTTACGCGCTAATACTCTTGGGCAAGATATGAATCTTTCTCTTCCACCCAGCTAGGGTTTAGATAGTATGACTTTTATCTGAAAAAAAAAAACATTGTTATTCTCAAAATTCTCATTGTTAAAGAAATATTCACTCGCATAAAATAATTATTTTCATAATACTAATGCGGATTTAAATAATACATAAATGGTTGATAAACCGTAAAAAATAAGGCAATCTTCTTCAATTTGTAATCTATTTTTATTCTTCTACATTTTCTTTTATTTTTTTCTACCTATCTTTGTATTTATTTTTTCCACTTTTTAATTTTTTCCTTTTTTTTGTTGATTTTTCTTTTTCTTCCGTTATTTTTTTTTTCTTATTTTTTGTTCTGAAACTTTTCTTCTATGCAGATCTATTACTGCCACCTTTTATTTTTTATCATATCAATATTATTACTTTTCTTCTTCTTCTTCTTCTTCTTCTTCTTCTTATTATTATTATTATTATTATTATTATTATACTATTTTATTTCTTTTTCTTCGTTTTCTTGTCTTCTTCCGATTAATACTCCAGTTCTTTGTCTTCAATACCTTTTCATTTTCTTGTAATTTCTCCTCGTTTTTTTCTTTCATTCCAATTATCGTCTCTGTCCTTGTATACGTTCAGATTTCTTCTTATTCCTTCTTTATTTACTGATCTTTTTCCTATAACTTTATTAATATTCTAACCCCTTTTCTTCATTTCTTTATCATTTCCACATCGTCTTCTTCTTCTTCTTCATTACTTTTGTCTTTTTTATCTTTCTTTGTTCCTTTATATTTATTCATAATCATCACCTTCATTCTTATTATAGCTATTGTTTCCACTATAAATAAGTTAAAGTATTAATATTCTTACATTACTGGAAAGACATGTTTCCATTTGCTGGCGAGAAATGCGTATGTGATGATGTGAGCTTGCTTGCTTAGTTTATTTTTAATCTTAAAGAAAACCAAATAATAACTGAGAATGAATAAATTCCACGTCATTCGACGCGGGAGAATACGGAAGCGGTCGGCAGGTATTTTTAAGCTTAGAATTGGCAGGCTTCGCCGTTCGACAATTCCAGACGCTGGTTCAGTTCTTCATTTAAGAACACATAATGCAAGATTCATTTGAATCGTTTAATGCGCACAATATTCAAAAGAGAGGCGCAAAGAAAATGGAGAAGAAAGAGAGAAGTGAGAAAATGGCAGCGATGGCGGTCGTTGTGCGAAACGAATCAGTGGAAGAATGCGGAGAAGAAAAAAAAAGAAAGATAAGGGACCAATTGAAAGGATGTGGATGAAAGCAGGCATAGCGGGCGGATGGAGTTTCTGGGTGATGGAGAGGTTGGCTTTATTGTTAAGAACGGTGGGGGGAAACAAAGGAGTTGGGTAAGAATTAAAGTTGTTAGAATAAAATAAAAGAAAGAGAGATAACATTAGGTAGGATAAACGATGTTTTATGTAGGAAAAAATGAGAAAAAGAAAAGAAAAGTAGGTAAGAAATGGCTATAAAAAGAAAGGGGGGAGAAAGAAAGGCAATAAAAGGGCAAAGTAATCAATAGGAAAAGAAAGAAAGACAGAAAGAAAGACAGAAAGAAAGAATATTTCTCAGCAAGAAATGCTCCTATTATTGCGTTGTATAAATAATTCAATAAAATTGCTAGTATGGCTCCATCGATATTTGGGGCCATAGTGCCAATTTCCGACGTGGGTGAATATAAATCATAATTATTATCCACACTACAAGGAATGCGAAAGAGACAGTAAAAATTTCTGGGATGCAAAAAGAGGAAAGAGTGTTTGGAGAATTTAACGCTCACAGGACATATTGAAGTTAAGAGAAGCACAGGGTAAAACAGCGGGTAACTTATATAACAAGCTTGGATGAATTTATAGTAAGAAAATAACAAGAAGTATGGCGAATGATCAAAAGTTACTGACAGCAACAACAGATAAGAAGTTGTTGAGAGCACGGTGGAGTAATGATAGCGGTTCGGAGTAAGGAATCGGAGAGCCGAGTTCGAATTCCAGTCGAATCCATTAAATTCAATTACGTGCTAATACCTTTGGGATAGGTATGAATCCTCTTCTTCTCCCAACAGCTATGGGTAAATAGCAGGACAGACCGGGTTCTATAACCTTGGATGGCAACTGGTCTACCAAAGAAAGAAATGGCAAACTACTGCGGGGAGAAAAAAAACAGTCATGTATCGAAAGATACATGATCGCCTAAACCTGAGAGCCGTGTCCTGAATAGATGCAGAGCATAAAAGAACGATAAAGAAACAGTATATACGAACATATAGTGAACAGTTAAAGTTAAAAGAAGTAGGAGAAACAGCGAGTAACAAGTTTGGATGAATGTATTGTCAAGCAATCACAAAGAAATATGGCGAATGGTCAAAAGTTACTAACAGCAACAACTGATTGGAAGTTGTTGAGAGCCATGGCCCGGTGGAATAATGGATATCGGCTCGGATTGAGGAATCGAAACATATAAGAACAATAAAGTAACAGCAAATACGAACATATAGGGAGAAAATTGTTTGTATTTGCTCGTTGACAACATATTGGATATAGAGAAATGTTGCACATCGGTGTCTATAAAAAAATCAATTTTTAATTACACTTTTTAAACTGAAGAATGTTATACCGCACTAATCGAGTATTCTGTATGCACTAATCGAATTTTGGTATCTAAAAAAAATAGCGCAATAAACGAAAACGCAATAATCGAATGCACAGTAATCGAGGGATATCTGTACATTAATCGAAAACATATTTTTCTATGCTTATTCTTGCTGACTATAAATAGATATCCTGTAAGAATTTTACTGAGATCTATGTAATAAATTTCTAGAGTAAAATTGTGAAATTTGATCCCTATTATTTAATTTCCGAAAACTGCTGGTTTTAAATGAATTGCCATTTTCGGATCTCGAAGAATCAGAGAGAATCCATGTTTATATGCAACCGTGAACTTTCTGTCAGATGTTGAGAATTTAAATAATAACAAAAGGGCTGAATATATTCGTTTTCTTTTAAAATAAAACTGTTACATAATGTGGAAGTTGGTTCAACACCCCTGGATGGGCAATTCTGACAGGGATCGATTGCCTCTGTCTAAGTTAGAGATATAAAACTAAAACAACACGAAGTTGCTAGAGGACCACAAGAATTTGAAGAGCGAACACACCTGCCGTCCCTAGAGTCCTCAAAGAGGCTAGCCCGCATGTAGTGGAATGCTAAGCCGATGACTGGGTATGCATTCCTCTAAAGATCTTCTTCCCGTTACTTCCTAGAACAGATGCTACAATGTCTGTCCCTCTCGTATAACAAAACGAATAAGAAAAAGAAACCGTTTTTCGTTGATACTATCTGTGATGGAGCGTTGGTGTCTGACGAGCTGAACCCATTGGCGACACAGAATGCAACATAGCATATAACATCTAAATACCTACGATAAATTATATATAACGTTCCATCCTAATTATCTAACTAAACCTCCTCATTATGCGTCATGAATAAATGAGCAAGAACCTGAGTCAAGTGAGACTTCATCCCTATTCCATCAATTTGGTCATTGTATTCCTCATTGGCAAGAAAAAGTTCATTTATAATTAACATCAGGAAGAGATAGTTGATGTTGCTGGGACATATAATTGGGAAGAAGGGCTTGGAAAATTTTATACTCACAAGGCGGATTGAAGATAAGTGAGACAAACGACAGCAACGCACAACCTAAATGGGGAGCTGGAGTAAATGGATGAAGGGGTCGAGTATGGGAATGGCAACAAAAATTAAAAGTTATTAAAAGCTACAAGGAACAGGAAATTGTGGAGGACCATGATTGCCAGCTCCCTGAATGGACACGGTACTTAGATTTGCCATTGTACAAAATGAATTAAATATCGGGCTACTATGAACAGTTTTAATAGTCTTTTTCGCATGTTGATGATGCTCAAATAACTTTTCTATAGCTAAATGTATTGTCTCATCTAGAGAAAAAATTGTAAATAAACTATCTCAAAATAAATCATGTCCTGTCGTAATTATTTAATACCTTTACCTTTCTTAATGGATAGTGGCTCGAATTGAAAAAAACAGACAGCTGAGTTCAAATTCCAGTCGAATCCATAACATTCACTTACGTGCTAATAACCTTGGGAAAGGTATGAATCCTCTTCTTCTCCCTCCACCTATGGGTAAATAGCAGGACATACCAGGTTCTATAACCTTGAATGGCAACTGGTCTTCCGCAGAAAGAAATGGCAACCTACTGCGGGAAAAAATCTGCCTCATCACTCATGTATCGAAAGATACATGATCGCCTAAGCGTGTATCACGCATGGCACATAACTGACTGAAATTTACTTACGTGCTAATACCCTTGGGAAAGGTATGAATCGTCTTCTTCTCCCTCGTCTATGGGTAAACAGCAAAACAGACCGGGTTCTATAGCCTTGAATTGCAACTGGTCTACCGCAGAAAGAAATGGCAACCTAATGCGTGAAAAAATCTGCCTCGTCAGTCGTGTTTCGAAAGATACATGATCGCCTAAGCGTGTATCACGTAAGGCACATAACTGACCATTGTTAAAGCATCCCACACACGTTCTTTAATCAAATTGTATGGTTTTAATAAATCTTTGATGTATTTATCAAGGCTATAGTTGAATGAATCATTCGAGTGTCAAATGTGTGTTGATGTGGATCTTTTGTCTTCATCTTCAATCTTATTTACACGAGCGATATCATCCAAGCAAATGGAAAAGGATAAGAAGTTCTCGATGCTTGTGCGCCCCCAAAAATGGTGACCGGGTTGGTGTAGATCAAAACTAAGACACATATACCAGGAGCTGTAAGACATGCTAGAGGGATAACAAAAGCAATTTAGGCCTTCAAGATATACCTGTTTCAAGATCAATTTCATTTATCTCATGGGGTGGGGATAACTCTTTAAAGAGTATATATATTTTTCTTGTTCGAGTGTACATTCGAGCCTGGTTTCTGTCATCAGAAACAATTAACGCCCCCTATCATAATTTAATATCCATGTGTCAACTGATACTCGTGTCAATTGATCCAGAAAAAAGTCTGCTGCGAAAAAAAATCCAAAAACATCTGGTGCTGAACTTCCGAAACTATGGTTCTATCCAAATTTGAAGACAATTTTTCAAGAGAGGTTAAGGCAAATATAGCTCAAGTTATGCTGGAAGCAGACAAAGCCCTACACGTATCCAATATATCGTCTACCAGCAAACAGAAAAGATTAATTATGTAAATTATAACATCTCCACAGAGTAATACTCTCGTGTCGCGAGATCTTAGTCAATGCTCTACGGTGCCCAATTAAGTTACGCTCAATGGGAATGCTATGCGAGAAATGAATATTTCTAGTTTGCATTGCCCGAATTATTGACATTATTATATTCATGACATAGAAATACTTTAATACACGGACTGAATGGAATAGCTGTATTAAAAGGAATGTCAAACATCCTTTTTTTCTCACAGAGAGTTTTATACCGCTAAGACATGCACAAAATCATATGCACATATTTACACGTGTTCCATAGAGTGAAACTATAACACGGGGATGCAACAACACGTAGTATGAAAAGTTGTCGAAAACAGAAAGTCTTACTTGTGCTCCTTTCTCCGGGATTTACCTCGCAACTTTATGTACTGACGATACCCTCAAGCGGTCACGTGACCCTCGTGATTTTATCTCAACGAAAGGGAGATAATAGGCTTTTGTATCCCTACAAGCTGCTTATTGTACTGTAAATCGGAAGGCGCAAGTGTGTGCATATTGCTATTACATAAAAACAAAAGGGGTTTGAGACCGAGTGAAACAGACAGACAGAGAAATAGGGAAGAAATTATAATATAATGGTAATAGTTTTGTCTAAGAGAGGCTCAGAATAAAAAAAAAAAAAAAAAAAAGATTTTTTTCCGACAACTACAAAATGGACGAGTTATAATTTTGATTTCCCACTAAAAGCTTTCTCGAAAACAAACAAAAGAAAACGGTTTCTGGATATTTATTGTTTATATTTTAAGTCTTCTAAAAAATTTTCAGTCACATGTGTCAGATATTGTCAGGAAGGATACTGTTCTTTAGTCCTTTCCAGGAGAACATAAAAACGGCACCTATAAGATAGTATAATGGCGTGACTGAGATCAAATGAATTACCTGCATATTTACGAAAAGTCTTTTTTCGGGAAAAGATCAATATTTCCCAAATTGTGCGCGACTCTGAGCGACTCCATTAACAATTCAGCGATCAGGCTCAGTCAAAGTTCAGGCATTCTAAGAAATTCATCTTCATTCATTTCACTAGCGTCAATTTCTATTAAGGACAATATAATATATATATATATATATATATATATATATATATATACACACACGCCTTTCGTAATGGAACAAGCAGCTACGAAATAAATTCGATTTTAAGGTAAGTTTGAAGTACATTGAAGTACTGGGATTTTTTTATAAATACAACAGTACCTCGGGTTACGAACATATGATCACGAACAAATCGGTTAGCGAACAAATTTTCCGAACAAGAAAACGTCTCAGGTGACGAACATGTGCGCTGGCGACAGCGTAAGTGATTGTGAAAGAAAATCTTTTCAGGGAAAGAATTAGGTAGTGGGGAAGTTCCTAGCTCTTTGATCCGCGAAATTTGTGCAAAATGCGACGAGGTGCAAAGTTTTGTGACAAGTCATTAGCAAGAAGCCACATAAAGATTTTCAATGACGATTCCATGACTCAGTTTGGAAAGGATTTAAAACTTCATCAAAAGCAAATCTCATTCGGCCAATTTTTAGTGAGACGGAGGCCCAGTGAGTCACAAGGAAACCAAGCGGTGCCAAAAGGCAGAAAAGAGAGGGAGAGAAGAAAGAAACTCCAAAAAGATAGCTACCTGATTTTTTTTTAATGGAAAGGGAGTCCTCATCCAAACAATAACATTTCTCCCCTTCCTCAGTATATTCCACTTACGCAATCAAACCTCCTCCGTAGAGATTCGGTAAAATTAAGTTTTCGACTTTTTTATTTATATCTGATAAGAATCATGTTATTTTTTTTTTTTTTTTTTTTTAGATGTAATGATTTTCGCTTCGATTTGGAAATCGGAGAACCGAGTTCGAATTCCAGTCAAGTTCATTACATTCCTTTACATGCTAATACCATTGGAAAAGGTATGAATAGATTTCTTCTCACCCAAACTATGGATAAAATAGCAAAACAAACTGGGTCATATAGCCTTGGCTTGTAACCAGCCTGGGGGAAGGAAAACTCCTAAGTCAAACCAGCTGCTGCCTTGAAGGTCCCGCCTCTTTAAGCAAATGCTACAAAGAGGTAATTTAAAAAACAGTTGTACCTCGTATGTCGTCTGGAAGAAAGAAACTACGCCCGTACTTCAAGGTAACCTTTTTATGTAAAAATACGTCTTCACCCCCAGCTATGGATAAAAGAGCAGGATAGACTGAGTCTTATAGTTTTGGGTGGCGACCACTCTGGTAGAAAGAAATTTTAAATTCAAACAATTTGCTTCCTTGTAGGTCCTGCATTTTCCTTGTAGGTTCTGCCTCAAAAACAAATCTAGTGTCGCTGACAAAACTAACCTGGACATTCGTCTCGAAAAGGACCTCCAATCGGTTGTGAACTGGGGCAGGAATTGGCTGGTTAACTTTAGCACCTCAAAAACAAAACTGCTCTCTACTAATCACTACAGAGATCATTCCCTGCCCCCCCCCGCACCCATTAGAATGTCTGACGCTCAACTTCTGGAGAGCACCCCTCTGCAGCTTCTCGGTCTCACATTGTCTGCTGACCTAAGATGGAACAAATGCATTGAGTCAATTGCTTCGTCCACCGCAAGGAAAGTTGGCTCCCTGTGCCGCGCCAGGAAATTTTTCTCCCCGGAATCGATCCTTCAAATCTACAAATCAAATATTCGTCTTTGCATGGAGTATTGCTGCCATATATGGTCTGGAGACACTACTGTTTGCCTCGGGGTTCTTGATAAGATCCAGAGACGGATATGCAATATAATTGGCCCTGTTCTGGCATCTCGTCTACAGTCGCTCTCTCACAGACGTACCGTCGCCTCTCTGTCTTTTTAAAAAATACTTTCATGGTAATTGCTCCGATGAGCTGCTTTCGCTGGTTCCCAGACTTCATGAATTCAAGCGCCCTACGAGGCTGGCATCCCGCTCTCACCCTTTCACTGTTGACTATTAAATGTAGCTCTCTCTTCTTCTCTAATAGGTTCATATCTCGCACCTCTCGCCTATGGAACTCTATTCCCTTTTCCTTGTTTCCCTGATAGATATAACCTCTATCTACTCAAATAGACATCTCCAGTTGCCTTGATCTATTCACTATCTTTCTCTTCATTATTTTCTCTATCACTCCTATCTGCTCTCGCTCGAAATCCTATGTAACCCCTTGCGTGCTAGTGGCTTCCAGCCTTGCTTGGGGTGAAATGCTTAAAATAAAAAAGGTTAGAGGAAGGTAATCAAAGGTAATCAAATCCACTTTCCTACTCTTTCCTACTTGACAGAAAATAATTGACTCATCGGGTTTAGTCCAATGGTTCAAACAAACGCAATCATCTGGGGTCCTGAGACGGATTAATCCATTTTTACATTGATTCTTTTGGTGAAAATAGTCTCAGTTTACGAAAATTTCGATGCACGAAAAGTCTTCAGGAACAAATTGAATCTGTGAACCGGGGTTCAACTGTGTTCCTGAGAAATCATTGAAATAAATTGAGATTTAAATAAGTTTTAAAATATTGCAAATTACGGCAGTACTGAAATTGCTTATGGGAACAGACTTACTGCTACAACCGCAACATTTATCAGCGCAATCAGCGAGTCGAGATCATATTCCAGCCGAGTTAGTTGCCTTTAAAGACATGAACTTATCTATTCCTCTCCCAGCTTTGTATTACATAACAGGAGAGATTTGTCTTTCTGCTGTTGGCTTATAGCCAACCTAAGAAAAGGAAATCTGCATTCAAAACACTTGCGCCTACTCCGTCGTCGATTACAAAGTGGCGACCCTTCGACTATCAGCCTTTAGATTCTCATGATGAATGTGTCTCTGTCGTGAGAAGTGTTTACCCCTTCTACCTAAAAGGCAGTGACACGCTCGGTTTCTCGTGCTTCTTCAACCGCAGCGGAACCTACCATAAAATCTATGTGTAAAGATTAAAAACAAAATGATAAAATGTAAACGCAGTAAAATATTGATAGCGGAAATATGAAAAAAAAGAGAGACAACACATGGAAAATGAAACAGGAAGAATATTACAATGATTATCATCGTATAAGAAATATTAACATTAACCTTCAAAAAGTCTAGTACGATGCCGCCATATTGAAAAAGTCGATCTCAATTCAGTAGCAATGAGATAATTTTGTTAACTAATGCACTACAGCATGATATCTATCCTCATTTCTTCCAATACGATATTCTTTCAGAAGATTAATGGATAACGGCTCGCATTGAAGAATCGGAGAGCCGAGTTCGAATACTAGTCGAATACATTACATTCACTTAGATGGTAATACTCTTGGGAAAAGTATAAATAATCATCTTCTCCCCCTAGCTATGGGTAAATAGACGGGACAGACAGGGTTCTATAGTCTTGAATAGAAACTGGTCTACCTCAGACAGAAATGGCAACCTAGTGCGGGAAAAAATCTCAATTCACCAGTAATGGTCTTAGAGATAATCTTGTTAACTAATGCTCCAAATCAGGAACTCTATCTTCATTATTTCCAATACTATACTCCCTCAGAAAGTTAGTGGATAGCGGCTCGCATTGAAGAATCAGATATCCGAGTTCAAATTCCAGTCGAATCCATTACATTCACTTACGTACTATTACCCTTGGGAAAGGTATGAATCCTCTTCTTCTTCTCCCAGTTATGAGTAAATAGACATGACAGGCAGGGTTCTATAGCCTTGGATGGCAATTAGTCTAACGCAGAAAGAAATGGTAACCTACTGCGGGATAATATCTGCCTCATCAGTCATGTATCGAAAGATTTATGATCGCCTAAGCGTGAATCACACATGGCAGATAACTAACTGACTTCAGAAAGTTGGTGAACATTTCATTCCGCAGATTTCTTTACTTTAATATCACTTAACAGACTGATTGTTTTTTGCCAACATGTAGTGATTCGCCCGCCATTTTTCCTTTTGCTTGCCAACCTGTCGAGAGATTCTTTTGTGTTGTTATTTAACCCATAGATGGGAGACGATAGGATATTTATTTCAAAATTTCTGCAACTTTAGAAGCACCTAGAAAAGGGCCAATTTTCTTTAAGAAAAGTTTAATAGTCATCACTCTACGACAGAAGACTTTAAGCTATCGAAAAATAGGTTGAATTGTAATCTTTTTCCCCAAACGATAACATCTGATACCAATGACTTACAAAACGAGCTCATTTAACTCGCTCGACTGTAGTCAAGCCAAGTTAATATTTAACCAAATTAGTACATTAGTATAAGGTTTGTTTAAAGAGGCGTTCTGATAAAGTAAAATTGTTATAGCATACCTACGGACGATAATGTACATGCCCCCTTTCCCATAATGCAGTAATGAATACTGTACGTGGTCGAGAGTTGGAGATTCGACCCAAGCCTTGCTGGTCAAACTCTCTGCCTCCGGACAGAAAGGATCCTCATGTCGAAATCTAATAATAATGTAATCTAATAATACTCTACTCGATTTATTTATGTGTTAATATAATTTCACTTTATAAGTACAAGGCTTCGTTTCAAACGCATATATTTTTATTTGGACCCTTATATTATATTTCCATCCCGATTATTAATTGTGTTATTTAATATTATTATATTATTTTATCAAAAATGAAAGGTACCACTTCATAATTTGTTGATTTTTTTAATCCAAATTAAAAATGCAAATAATTAAAAGAAATTGAATTATTTTTTTTTAATTTTCTTTTTGTATGTTTATAATTAACTGCACTGAGTGATAGATACAAAATGATATATGTGATCTACATTTTCTCTTTCAGTGCAAGTAAATCCGTGACTTATAGAGATTGTATTCTTATACAATTAAATACGGGTTTTCCTTTGGCTTTTTATCAAGGAAAAAAATAAGAAGCCAAAATAGCACCTGTTTTACTATGTAGATATCTTTCCAAAATAAAATTTGTACGATATAGATATTTTTTTCCTTGTAGATAACAAGCCAATGTATCAAATATATATATATATATATGTGTGTGTGTGTGTGGAAAGATGCATCGGTTTCCAACTCTCACGATGTAGAACACGTGAATTTTCACTGATTTCTAGCCCCGTGAATGCCGAGGCAATAATTAGGGATCCTGAAAGAGCTGACGTTATTTATTTGTGTCAACGAAGGCCGAGGTATCTCTTGTCTTTTAATTTTCATAATGACATGCATCTTTTCTTTTTTTTTAAAAAAATTCTTCTTTTTTTTCTGTTGGTATTCGCTCGCCTGTTTATATTCGTTGTGCGTAGTTTTTTCTCTCACCCCTCTGTGTTGAGATTTTGGTTGAAGGGAAAAAAAACTTTTTAAAAACGCGTATCGAGTTTCAAAAATGGCGGATTATTCGTGCTCGGATCTATGCCGGAATGCGAAAACTAGAAATCCAAAAAAGGTGTACGGCGCAAAGCATGGAAGACCAAACAGACGTAAAATAAAACCACGTAAAATGAAGAAGTTGTATATTTTCACTTTTTGGAGGTTAAACAGTACGAATTTTTCTTTGGAAGGGTGTTTTTCTGTCTTACCTGGGCACAAAAGGGCTTCAAATTATCAATTGATCGACCTAGTTTTGAATTGTATATTTTATAGCCATACGTATGTATCAGCTCTAAGAAGCGAACATATATTCAAGACAAATAATTTAAAAACATATTCTGTGCGAATTTAAA